TTTACAGAACAACTTTACTAGGAAATTGTTCATCAGAGCATTAGGGTTCACGTACAGAAGCATCCCTCGAGGAGTGATTAGAAATAAGATTCTCGGTCTTGACCCTTTACAACTAAGACTTAGGAGGAATGACATACTCATGGTGTATAATATTCTGACTAATCGAATCGATCTTGACAGTCGTAACTTTTATACTTTGACTCAATCCAAAACAAGGGGCGAGAGGTTCAAGCTCACTTTTCGTCAGCCACGTTCGTCGGTTGGGCGCAGGTTCTTCACATTTCGTGCAGGGATGGAGTATTTGAAAATGAGTAAACTAACTCCAATACCAGCATTCTTATCTACATTCAAAAGCAAGGTATCTCATTATCTGCGTTCCGTTCATTAATTTATGTTCTCCGTAGTTCATTTGTTTTTGCTTCTACTGTTTTATGGTTTTTTTTTATTTTCTCCTCTAATAATATAAGTTGTTAACATGCCAACAGCATGTAATAAAGTAAGTAAGTAAGTAAGATCATAAGCAAAGCCATGTCAGTAGTCATCAAGATTAATACAAGTATATAGTTATTAGTACCGTTTATGGCAATTTGTTCGGCAGTGTTTACCAACCCAATGAAGCTAGGTGCTCGATAGTTGTTGATAATGATTGGTAATTTTGAGGTTTTCGAAAGGAAATCGGCAAGCGAAGGAATGAGGTTCAATTGAGCTAGTACTTAGCAAAGGGGGCAGAGCGCCAAGCGAATAAGCAAATTGGGAGACCTTGATGAATCCTACTAATTTGATAGGAGAAATGCGAAATAGCTATAGCCAAGTCAGAAGTCAGCAAGAAAAGTCACCCTGATGGAAGAAATCGAAGGAGTTGAGCTGAGTGTGAGTGTTAGCGCTAGAGACAGGCCCCTGGGGAGAAGATTTGTTGGTTGTGAGCCGGCCGAAGACGGCTGTAGGCGTTAGTTCGCTTCTTTTGGAATCGAATCTCTGCTGGCAGGGGCTGTCAATCCTCAACTAGAATATCGCGCCGCTTCAACAATTCGACTCAGCTGCACACACACAGGAAGTCGTGATGACAGCCTCGCCAGTGCTGTGCCTCAGCTTCAACGAAGAATTGAATTGAACTGCTGACTTCGAGAGTTCCTTCGAATGGAGGCACGTTCCGAAGGATTTCGAAACTTTCGAGCTGAATTTGAAAAAAAAAGGCAGTTTACAGATGGGATTAAAGCAGATTCCCAACAATCAAATCATAAGATGAGTTAACATTATGATTACCTAGGGTCAACTCACTGGCTTTTTTAAAGACTAGTTTGATAATGAGCTGAGAGAATGAAAGTTGTATCTAGGTCTCAAAGCTATTGCCATCAAGACCAATATCGAACCGGTTTTTATCCTCCCCAGCAAAGAGTCGGTCTATGTAGTCGAGAAACCTAATTTCCCAATGCTGTTGCTCCCAAAGTGCCCAGACTTACACATGGACTCCCTAAACTCCAAAGACAATCGAGTTGGTCAAAGCTATTTAAGATATCAAATGTTCCCCAATCATCTGTCGGAGTAAGGTAATCTACAGTAATAGATTGTCGTTCTAATACAAATAAGAATCGTAAAATGTACATAGCGTATACGCCAAAACAAGAATGTTTGGATTTGAAGTTGGCAAGATTTTTGGATTAGGTAAACAGTGACTGAAAAATGTAGTAGGAGTATATCACAGCACGTCAACATAGGAATCATAAGCAATCGCCTGTAATCCTTTTCCTACCCTACAGAGGAAGTGCCCATGGGTTTAGCAAGTTTAGCATTCTCCTAGGCTANCTCAGCGCCCCCATGGGTGGTAGAAGGGACCGCTCCCACAATCTCGGCGCTTAGGGCATAGTGGAAGCCCCGTTGCTGCCGTAATTCGCTTTCCCGCCCCTCGATCGGTGTCACGTTAGATGAGTGTCGAGGCAATACAGATTGCTATTATTCGTTCTAGGACCCACGCACAGTCAGCTAATCGCCGAGTGATGAGGCGATGTTTTTCTCCCATTCTTTTTTCCTCTGTTTTTCTTTTTGCTGCCGCGATCCCTTATTCAATTTCCTACTCCTAGAGGCTAAAAAAGGTGAGCTACTTTTGCTGTTACTAAGGTTTTTTTGTTTATTTATGCTTATAAGTGAATGAATTTTGGCTTACCATTGTCTCTTCTTCGTACCAGGACCCACACACACGCAGTGAGGCATATTGTATAGCCTTTAACGCCCCACTCTTCTTCATTTTTCTGGTTTCATTCTCGTCCAGCCCCCTTTTTGACGGTTTTTCGAAGCCTTTTTTACTTTGAAAACACCGATGCACGCAGTTTCTTCACCTCAGTCGCACTAGTTTCGATCTTGTCTTCCATTTTCATCATAATCTGGATTACCCAAAATTGTCGTGAACTGTGCCTTTAAATCGTTGTGGGACTTTGCTTGAATCGTGTACAGTCAACCCAGAGAAATAGCCTTCCAACGTATCCATCATTGCTGTACGGTTTATGGCCATTGCTCTATTTTAGAGACTTCATTGGGAAGCTTAACACGGAGGGTGCAGTGGCAAGATGCGCACTATCACATACGCTTTTCACGGGTTCGAATATCGGATCTTGGTACACCTACGCCAACCAAACCTTCCACCCCTCCGGGATCGATTGATTGGTACCAGACTTTTCTGAGAGGATAAAAGCACTGATTTGTGCATCGGCTGGCCACTGCAAGTCATTGAACAGGCCAATACATATTCTATACGCCACTACGCTTTTGATTGGAACTCGACGCGGGAGTACATCCTTCAGACACGATGGATCAACATCAAAAGACTTTACGAGGCCTTAATTATTGGGCCACTCTGACGGGTTGAGAGACCAAATAATTAAAGGCACAGTTCACGATAAAAGTGGCTCATGAGATATCGCGTTAGGATAAATCTGTGGCTCCCTCGCATACCGTATGTGACGCTGTCAGGTCGGTCGACGGCCCAGATAGGGAGTTAGAAGGCCTAAAGGCTGTGTCGTGTGTATACGCGGACGAGTTTCAACGGAATTATAGAGGCTGCACCACTCACAAGGGAACCCATGAAGGAAGATCAAAAAACTTGTTATGACCCATAGCGAAAGTGAAAGGCAATTCTGAACAGTATTGGTTCGATAATCAACTCTTTGCGCAATTGCAATAACTGAAATTTCGTCCAAATACCCGGTCCATGTCATTTCTGTCATGCTATCTCGTACAGTCTCTATTTCCACAACTTTTCAAGAGCCTTATTTCGCCGCTATTTTGAGAATCGCCGAAATTTCTCGTTTCCTTCACCACGGATGCACTGTTCACAACCAATACCTCCGCTTTTTCAATTCGAAGGCACAGTTCACGATAAAAAAGGTTTCTGAAGGAAGTTCGAACAACTTTTCATGACCCACGGCGACAGTGAGAGGCTATTCTGGGCAGCTATGGTTTGATGTAGTCAGCTCTTTGCACGATGGGAGCAAGCTAAACCTCCAAACACCCCTTACATGCCATTCCCGTCACGGTGATCTCGTACAACCTCTACTTCCACTACTTTTAACAAGCCTTGAAGTAGGCGGATTTTCTTGCTTCCTTAGCCAACGTACTCCTCTACATCAACACTTCCGCTTTTCAGCCTAAAAAAGGCACCTCAAAATTATCATGAACCATGCCTTTAAAGTCTCTGAACAACCCCAAAAACCTAATCCTTCATCATTTTATTGAGGAAACCTATTGATAACTAGTTTCTCAAAGTAAAATAGGCTCAGCTAATGAATAAACTAAGGTCATTCAATATCACGCTCAGATTTGCTATGGAACTCATCGATTTCGATCCTATCACTGTCAACTGCTATTACGGTATATTCGCTACAATCGCAGTGTCTTCCAATGGATTGCTGATATACCTTGTCAGATATAGGTAAATTCTTAACAGTATATGCTTATCTCAACGCAAACGATGCGGAGCTCCTCTGATAGGGCAACGTCAAGGTTTTTTTTTCCAAAAAAGAATGATGACGTACCTAAAAATCTGATCTAGCCCACATTGATGAGAATATTTCTGAGGATAGCCAATGATTAACCAAACAGTGTTTGACAATAAATCCCTCCAACGCAGGGTAGCCTTTCCAATCTTCAAACTGCACTTTTTGATGTATGAAATTTCATTGTTCTACTTTTAATTACCTCAATCGCTCACTTCAAGAAGTCCCAACATTGTTCGAAGTGTGAAAGCCATGCTGATCAATATATCCACGACGCAGATCCTTGTAGCGCTGACGGCAGCGTTTCTACAGGGAAGGTCTGTGAGCTCTGCAATTATAAAAAGTTGAAAAGGTGGGAATGGATAATCGAGTTAGGGCTAATTTCAGAATTATATCAACCACTTCAACCGCTGCGATTCTATCAGAAGGCCCATCTAGTATATTCGGCCCCACGACATGCCTCGCTTCCTATAACATCTTTAGTGCGTTGACTTCGTATGTAGAACTATTGATAGTTCATACGATGTTTTGTCGTTATCGAATGCTGCAAATGAAAGGGATGAAGACGACCGAAATGTTTTTGAGCTTCGTCTTGGTTGCAATTTGGCCAGTAGTTCTGCTGGTGAGTCTAATGATTCCGCTATTTGTTAAAGGTACAGTTCAAGATAATTTTGGGATATCTAGTTTCGGAAGGATAATGGGAGCTCGGCTCAGGATCAGCATCGAAATGGCGAAGAAAACGTGAAAATTAGAGAGATATAAGGTTGCATAGGAGACCTCTACAACGATGTGAACCCACTCCCTTCTGGCGCATTGCATCAGTGGGAACTGATTGCAACTGAATGCGCATGTTTATAGCTTATAAGTTTCAAAATGATGGGATCTACCGGAACGATGTTCCAGTTCATCATGAAGGTGCTTGCGGGCCCTCAATTTTATACATTGTCCTTCCACTTACACGCACTGAGTCGACTAGTTTCGTTAGTTGCCTATTCCTCGAATTTCCATTAAGGTAGTCATGAGGACAGGATAAAGCTTAGGGCGTTAAACAAGCCCGTTCAGAGATATGCTCCGCATCCGATTTCCATCTAGAATCGTAGTAGTGTAATGAATGTGTGTGGCCTAAACAATAACTTGCGGTGGTCAGCCAATGTACAAAACAGCGCTTTTATACTCCAAATGATTATGGTATTAGATGGGCGACCCTGGAAAGAAGTAACGCTGATTGTCGTGGCCAGTGTCAATTCGGGAATTGAGCGCAGGCCATGCTTGTGTGCTATGCGCCACTTGCCACTACACTACCTCCACCCACGGGATACGTCAATCATTTTCAGGTCTTATCGCAGCTCAAGGCAGCGAGTTCTGAAGTTGTCATGGACGAAGCAATCCATGAACATCCAGATTACAACCTAGAAAGGTAGGTTCTCGACATTTTCGAGTTTCGTAAACACTGCAATGAATAATCTAAGTTGAGATATGGAGAGTTCGGAGGCTTACAAATGACAAATCCATTCCAAGCAATCGATATGTTAATAGCTTTCATAATTGTAACTGCTTCACCCATTCTTATATTGTATCTGAAACGCTTGATACTAAAAACGCTCACTGATTATCAACAATATACGGAGAATATAGTGCAGAATTCTAAAATGTTTCTGAAGGTGAGTGAAGATTCTACGATTTTTCCAAAGAAATTCTGAGCTTGTGTAGAAGAAACTGTAGAAGAGGTAGCTCCTACACGACTTTTGCCTTTGTCTCTGCATAGTTTCTGGAGTAGAACCTTACTGGTACCGTACTCTAATTCGATTGATCCAATCATAGCACAAGGTCAATTCCTGGCTTGCATCCCTATCTGAGTAGAACCTCGAGTACCATTTTGTCATCAACGAAGACAACTTTCTCAAATGGTAGTTGAAATGAGGAGCTTGGCAATGTATCCAGTAGTGTGACATCAAAGTTCTGAAATGAGATTGTGAGTGGCCGATAAATGCTAATGTTATCTTTCAGGCACTCACTGTTCAAGCCATGGTTCCGATTCTTTGCTTCGTCCCTATTGCTTTGCTTGGTATTCTNTGTGTATAAGAAACTGTAGAAGAGGTAGCTCCTACACGACTTTTGCCTTTGTCTCTGCATAGTTTCTGGAGTAGAACCTTACTTGTACCGTACTCTAATTCGATTGATCCAATCATAGCACACGGTCAATTCCTGGCTTGCATCCGTATCTGAGTAGAACCTCGAGTACCATTTTGTCATCAACGAAGACAACTTTCTCAAATGGTAGTTGAAATGAGGAGCTTGGCAATGTATCCAGTAGTGTGACATCAAAGATCTGAAATGAGATTGTGAGTGGCCAATAAATGCTGATGTTATCTTTCAGGCACTCACTGCTCAAGCCATGGTTCCGATTCTTTGCTTCGTCCCTATTGCTTTGCTTGGTATTCTATCGAGAGTCTCTGAATCAAAAATCGTCATCGTTGAATATCTTTTCCTTGCCCTCGCAGCACTACCGTGTGCAGTGGATCCACTGATCGCAATTTATTTTGTTCCATTATACAGAACATGGGTTTTGGGAAAGCTTCGCAAGCAAGTTATCCCTATGTAAATGGAAGCTCAGTGCATGGCAAATAGCTCACATTTTCATTTTCATTTTCACGTTTTCAAGGTGGAAACGTCCGCAGTACCCGTTAAAACTGCTCAGTAATCAGGGTCTCTTGAAATCTTCTGGCGTTAATAAATCCCAGTCTGACCAGTGAGGGATGCGTCCCGCATTCGACTTCAATTCAGAACCGTGGTGGCATATTGAATGCGTATGTGGTCTACACAATGACTTGCGGTGGCCAGTCGATTTACAAGCTGGTGCTTTTATCCTCTCAGACGAGAGTACTAATTAACCGACCTCGGAGGAAAACTTGGTTGACATAGGCGAACATTGAGCAGGGATCCGAACCCGTGACCATGCGTGTGTAATAGGGCTCCACTTGCCACTTCACCACCTCCGCTCTGGCCCAAAAACTCGAACTTCGAAATCAAACTCGGAGAAAAGATTCATGATCTTTGATTCAGTCCTCGATATTTCTTTTCATAAATACCAATTAGTTCTGATAGTATCACAAATCCCTTGATTGTAGCCCTTAATAATTGTGCCTGTGTATGTTTATGGTGTAGACAAATTATATGCCATAGCTAAGTTCATCTGTTATCTGTTAGAATATTTTTTTCTCTTAATTACTCCATTTCATTTTTCGTCACTTCATGTTCGAACAGTTGAAACAACCACACCCTGATTCCAGACTATTTTTTGAAGTGAACTCTTTTTCAATGCCACGAAGTGTTAATTTGTGATTCCTCGATCCCTTTTTCTCCTATTTCCTGATTGTTCCCAACCAAGTGTGCCCGGATGGCAGCCAAAGTTGTCTACAAAGTCACAAAATATATGTAACTAGTAATTAATGGTAACTCAAAAAAATATCTTTCTTCTTCTCCTCATCTACTCATTCAATGACGAAAAACTTGACCTTTTACCAAGACATTGCATTGGTTAATACTAATTAAAGGGTGTACAAAGATTGATAAACGAATGTCAAGCCTTTCTCTACACCCTTTGATGCAACATTTGTCACATACGTCGTGATTCTCTTCTCTTCATTCTTCCTTTTCCGCAAGTAGCTATAGAACTTATCTATTCGTATCGCTCCATTGTTCTAACCGATCTACCCCTTGGTCCCCTAACAATACCCTTACGTTGCTTAACTCACTCAACACCAGGTTTTACTCACCTGGGTAGCAGAAGCCCGTTTTAATCTGAAAACCTCACTTCTCTCCAATGCAACTAGAAAGGTCTCTACGCCCATAACGACATTAATGAAATCACGTGGCATTCTAAGTCGATCACTTTTTCAAAGACATATCTTTTCTCAACTTCTTTACGGAAATATGGTAAAAAGAAGTGATAAACTGTGGTCATGAGTATTGTATTGTATTGGTTTATATGCCATAATAACAAAGCGCAAACGGATTTTTGAACTATGTAGATATTTGTCACGAATTGTATAGCAATAAAATATCAGGGGGCAGGACAAGCAGGCTTATCGAGTAAATATGTTCATATAAATTACAAACAGTTTAAACAGTTGTTTTGTATGATTAGCTAAACTCTATTGTTCTAGAATCCACACCACAAAATTTGGCTAATCGTGTCGAGACTTTGTTTGTAATCTGCAACGGGGCAAGCCAGCCCATCTGCTTGTTGTCTCGGTTCCTCTCCATGAACTTTTTTTAATATAAAATTTCCTTAAAAGCACTAAGAATCATTTGCAACTCATGAAAAAAAGAGATGAGGTGATTCGAAAACAAGAAGAGAGCATTCAGATCTAAAATGGTATTCATTGACTTCAACCCGTTCTTTATGAACTGCTATTACGCAGTTTTCGTTACAGTTGCAGTGTCTACAAGTGGATTACTGATATACCTCATCAAATATGAGTAAGCTTCAAACAAGAATTCGTGAATAAAGCAGAACACTCCCTTCACTATAATTTCGGAGATTTTCAGGGGAAAAGAAGAAAAAAAAGTGTGGTTTACTGCATGTTGAAAGATGTACTTCTAAGGTTACCAATCTTTGTTTCTGTAGTCATTTCGATCAGTAACGGCGTTCCCCATCTCTGTTCGTCGACGAAACGTGTAACTCCGTATTTCCTTCCGCACGTGCATGAACAGGGAAGCTCCAGGCATTGTCCTTTCTACAGCACGTTGAATAAGGCTGACTGCATGCTCATCCTGCTTTCGAGTCGATTCCAACTTTCCGAAGCGTACGTCAAAGCAGGAACGGCTGCAGTATCGAAAAGGTACGGACGCAACCGGATGATCTTAGTCTCTCTCGCTAATCCCTCAACATTTTTGAATGCTCACCACGCCGGGCGTTTCCCTCTGCTTAGCTCAAGAGCTAGGTATTGATCATTTTGACTTCTTGATCTAGATACACGTGAACTAAGCATTCAGAAATTTTCGTTGTGTCTAGCGTAGAAGGAATATCAGGTGTCATTCCATCACTCATAAACATCTCCTCCATTATATTCAGCCCTATGACGATCTTTCCACAAGGACTGTTAAAGTCAATAAGCATTCTTTCCGCCTGCTCGATGTTCGGTTTTATTAGAGCGTTGTTGCCTGCAAAACGGAGGTGATGTAAGTTATAGCCGTCAACCTTCAATCACGAGTCTTTCCANGAATATCAGGTGTCATTCCATCACTCATAAACATCTCCTCCATTATATTCAGTCCTATGACGATCTTTCCACAAGGACTGTTAAAGTCAATAAACATTCTCCGCCTGCTCGATGTTCGGTTTTATTAGAGCGATGTTGCCTGCAAAACGGAGGTGATGTAAGTTATAGCCGTCAACCTTCAATCACGAGTCTTTCCACTCCAAATGACGCACAAAGCACTTTCGAGAGCGGCGTTGGAAAGTTTGGGCAAGATGGTATCGCCTCCTTATCCCCTCTTTTACGGTCGGTAACGACCTTCTTGAAGATTGGTGAAATCCTGATCATGATGTTGTCGTAGAGCTCATGAATCCTGTTTGCCGAAGGCTTCCACTTCTGTTTCGATGGTATCTATGTTACCTAGAGCCTTCTTCAAATTGAGAATGTCAGACATAACGGCATCCTATTCTCTCGCGATGAGTCTTGTGGCACTGTAGATGTGATTGATTGTACTGAATCAGGAACCAAATCCTGTTTCCTTGCATGGCTGCCCTTCAGCGAATTTTCTGCGTGAAAAGTCTAGCCAGGTTCTAGCGATGATTGGTGAACGGCTCTTAAGGTGTTCTGGTTTCAACTTACAGAAACTGAAGAACTCTTCATGGAACTCTTCATTGGCGTTATGGCATGTTGAATTTTGGGAAAGAGTACTGACGTAGCGACCTGTCTGTTTTGCCTAAGATGCTAGGTAGACATGTACACGTGGCCTCAAAAAGACCCGAATAGAAGTCGTGGATGACCTTTTCCGTTGCCCTGCGCGATGCAGTAACTGTCCGGGACGACGAAGGGAAGTCATCCCGGTCTTGTAATTGGCGAAGCTCCGTCGTGCTTTACGAATGCCCTTCCCTACCTCGGAAGCTCCGTCCACAACTGCTGTTCTTCTTCAGATCTTCTTTCACCACTTCTCTGCATAGCTTCGCAAGTTCGGANCTGCTTTCCTAGCGCTATCGTGAAAATTTTTGGCAAGCTAGTTATATTTTTCATCGAGGTTGTCGACAACGGAACCTTTTCCAGAAACCAACGAAGGAAGCGGAGTGGTCTCAGCTGATGGCGGTCGTGGGGTTTCATTTTATGAACTGAACAGCTCGCTTTCCACGCATTGAAAAACAAAATCTAGCGTAGTGGTGATGATCTGATCCTGTATAGAACTTCCAAACAACAGCGACCTTAGTCAGACAAAGCTTCCGTATGAAGATGGTGTGATCCAATCCATTATGGAACTGTCTATGAGATGACTCCCAGTCCATCACGAATGTATGGATCTCTGTGAATAGGTGAATTGTAAATCCCAATATGCAGCTTTTCAGCCGCTCTTCCAATGGTCAATCTAGGCGTTGAAATTACCGACGATTACCTTGATGAATGTGTGGGTTGCTTCGAAAAAATCCCAGGTTCATATAAAATTCTTCCAGCTCCTCTTTTATGTAGCACTTGATGTTGGTACGTAACCAGAGCAGATTGTAAGAGCAGAGGTTAGTCACATCCCCTCATATGTCCAATTCGATTCGTTACCCTTTCGTGAGAATCGATGTCCTTGAGCCGATGCGTGTTTAAAAGGACATCTACTTCGTCGAGGGTCTCTACCGTGGCTGTTCCGAAGAAAAGAGTTCTTTTGGTTGAGCCGATGTGCAGAATACCAACTGCATTAGCAGCCTTTTGATACATGCATGGTACCCCCGCGAGATACAGAAGGTTTAAATTGACTAAGAACAGCAGAAACGGGGCCCCCTGAATCCATCTAGGCCTCTGAGCAAGTAACGTGGCTTTGGTCCGCAATAAACTCGCTGTCGCCAGGTAGCCTCGTCACCTACCGGCTGATAGAGATCATCTAGCGAGAGAGATTCCTCTGTGGAGAACATCCGTGAAGACACATAGTAGCTTCGTGGAAATTTCGATTTGCTCTTTTCACCAGATGTGATAACCTCAGCCTGTGTTTGTATGCAACTAGTCAAACCATATTTCT